ACATCAACAGGCGCAAAGATCGAAAGCAAACAAGGCTGCCTTGCAATGGCCGAGGCTCACTTGACTTGTAAGGAAGGCCACTCCAACGTAAACCTTGACGACGAAGTTTGTCCATGCGGACGCCACAACGCCTATAAGACTCAAGCGCTTAATCTGGCAAAAGGCCGCCAACGAGCTCGCCTGGCTTCCACAAACACCAGAGGTCGCCGCCATGCTTAAAGCGGTGCACTGCCACGTCAACAAGATCCGCTAGGATCAGAGACCTTCATACTCCACAAGCTTGATTCGCCGATTAGCCATGCTAAGATCCGATCGCCGCCGCGCGCCGTGGACTCCTCCTTTTCCTTCGATTGTTCCTCCGTCGCGCGTGTTGCGCTGGAGGCGCTTCAAAGGTTTCGGTGGAGGAGCCACGGCACTTGTCATCATCCGACCACTCGGACATCGCCGCACTCCGTGTCCGAAAGTGGTCGGGTCGCCACCAAGCGAGATGTCGTCTGGCTTGCGGGGGACAGCACCCACCGTCTTCCTCTTCTTCCGGGCCGGCTCATCTGCTGTTGTCCTCTTCCCCCGGACTTTCTCCGACACCGGGGTACTTCTCCGCCACCACCGGTCTGCGTCATGGTTTCGGACTCGACGAGGTACCGCGCAGATCTTCCTCAGTCGACTTGGCGGGCGGGCCCATCGTCTCGCGCCAATCACCCTCGACACGCCCGAGAAGTACACCGCTCTTTCCTACGAATGGATCTTTGCATAAGTGAATCAGCCAACGCTTCGGCAACAATCATGGATAAAAAGCATCACGAACAAAACAATTGAGATGGTTACCTAAGGAGGTGGATTTGTACAGCTTGAAGGCCCTCGCCGCGCTTTTGACACGATGAACGAGGCATTGGAGCTAATAGCTCTACTGCCCGCTCTAGCACATCATCCCTCATCACCCTCCGGTCTCTCCCGGTGCCATCGTCGTCGCCCTTGAAGTCAAAGCCCGGGTGGGCCCTCTCCTTATAGGGCTGGACGCGGCGCACTATGAAGCTCGCCGCTACTAGTCTGCCGTTCATCTCCACGCCTTTTATCAGGTCGAGGAGCTCCCTCACCGCTTCCATGTTCTGCAGACGCCGGTTTCTCCCGGCTTAGCTCTTTTGGCTCTCCGGATGTGGGTCGACATCGCAGCGGATGGTAGGATGGCTCTGCTTCATGTAGAACCACCTGGCGTTCCACCCCTTCAGAGAAGTATTCAGCGGTACAGTGATGTACTCGCTCGCCATTCCGTCCCGGAGTTGCAGATATACGCCGCCGACCACCTTGGAACCGTTGCCGCCCTTCTTCTTCAACCAGAACAGGTGTCTCAAGAGGTTGAAGTGCGGAAGAACCCCAGATATGCCTCTCGCAGTATGGATAAAGATCGAGATGTGCAAGATGGTGTTTGGGTGGAGATTGTGCAGACTAATCACCCTAAACTCCAATAGATCCCTCAGGAAAGGATGAACAGGAAATCCCAACCCACGCCAGAAATAATCCTCAAACACCACTACTTCATCAGTATGAGGCATTGGGAAGGGCTCACCGCTGGCCGGCCGCCATCCGGCGGTGACGCGGTCAGAAGAACGCCCGCCTCCACCATCCCGTTGATCTCCGCCTCACCCATCCTCGATGGCACCCATTCCTCGTCATGGTCGGGTTACGGTGTTCGTCTTCTTTGGCTTCACTGCCTCCCTTCTTCGCCGCCATCTCTCGATCCGGTTAGGGATTGGCGGCGGAAGCACGTGTGGATGTGAATCGGGAAGTGCGAGGGCTGAGGAGGAAGATGAAATGGCAAAGTGGCAAATGTGGGAGCGCGGGGTACAGCGACGCAGTTATAAAGCACTACCCCCACCTTTTCGCATTTGAGGGTTTTTGAGAAACCGCTCCCACGATTGGCGCCTCTCCAAATTCTCCGCAACAGCAAGGTGGGCTGTTCCTAGGCTTTCGCACAACCGCGGCCCGTATCGCCCATTTATCTCCATAATTTGTTATGGCTCACTTGAATATTCGCCGATTTCTCCACCAACCGCTACGGCCAAGAATTATTATCTGACATCCATTACTCGTATTTTCTCCGCGATTTGTTTTCCAAGTTTTCCTCTTGTGGCTTTGGGGATGCTGGCACAAGATTACGCCTTGGTTCCTCACCGCATTGGGGATTTTCCTCTGTTGACTGCTGTTACTCACCCTGGCACCACGTGACCACGTCACCTACTGTCAGGCTCGGGGACTAAGTGGGAATACTTCATCTTGCGGTGAATGTGTTTTTTCTCATTTCGGGGCTACGCCCAGGGACTGGTTGCCTACTCGGCTGGTCTTCTACTTTTCTTCTACTTTGGACCTCGGCACCACGTGATCGCGCCACCTACTATCGTGGATCGGGACTAAGTGGGTACACTTTACCTCGCGGTGAGTGTGTTTGCTTTATTCTGGAAGACTCCGTGCCTTTTGAAGCTAAAGAGGACTATCTCCCTTTCTCGTGGTCGGACTCTAAGTGGGAACACTTGGTCCACTGCGAAGAAATTTTTGATTCTGAACTTGAACTCCTTACATCCTTATGGCAAGCCGTACTTGGGTTGTAATCGCTTTGCATGACGACGGCTCACGCCGCTTTCGGCGACGGTTCACACTGGCCAATGACGGTTCAAGGCCGCCGACGACGTTCACGCCGCTTTCAAGAATCGCCTCACAATCGCTTTCGGCAACTCATCACGGTGGTCGAACCATGAGTTTGACTGCTCGACTTTGTTCGTACCTGCTCGGACAATTGCAAGACGGTGTTGCACAACGGGTACACGGCGCTCGGAGACTAGGTGTAGGGGGTACGACCCCGGATACCCACGGCAGACCACATAGGCTGCGCCCCTAGGGACGGCCCAGCCCACAAGACGAAGCCTTGCAGGGCACGACGCTGCTCGACGTCTCCCGCAAGACACCGGGAAGATATTCTGAAGATACTACGAGATCTGTTAGGATACGTATGATCCCATGATTCATGTAATCTGTTATTACTTTCCGGTTATCTCTCATATCTAACCGACTTGTAACCCCGCTTCGGACTATATAAGGCGGCAGGACCCCTCCAAACTCACGCCATATCATACGATAGCAGCAATATAATCCAATGCACCATGTGAGTAGGGTATTACGCCACATCGACGGCCCGAACTCGTATAACTCGTGGTGTCTCGCTTGTTTTGTTGTTCTCGATTACACGCATCTCTCGTTGATCAATCTATCTTCATGGGATACCCTCGGAGGACTACCGATGATATTCAATTGACACATACATATGCATGCACTAAGGGCAAGGGGGGGGGCCTAGGTTGGCCACCACTGAGATATCTACTCATTATTTTAGAAGTTTCTATCTTTTTATCGATAGTTTTGGAAGAACGATTTCATTATGCAAATATATATTAAAGTAAGAGTTATTCAGATATATCCATCTTATAGCATTGTAAAAGTTAAATTTGCCCATAGGGGGCATATGCTCCCTTCCCATGGCAGTGGCGTAGCTAGCATTTGTAGTTACGATGGTCCATTGTTTAAATTTTTAACCACTATAAGTATCACATGTTGGTACACAAATATATGAATTATGAAACACAATATGATCAAGAGATAAAGAAAACCTATGAACATCACGAAATAGATGACAAGCTTGCTTAATATAGAATTTAAAGATTATACATATACCCATAATAGTTGACGAACAATATGGCACTACTTCTTATTGTTGTTAGACCTACGCCATTTTATATAATGTTTAAATTTACCATACCAATAATTTAATGCTGCACACAAAAAATCCTATAAATAAAATAATATAGCATTGCAGAAAAATCCTCCAATAACCATAATAGTTGACGAAAATACAGCACTACTTATTCATGTTAGACCTGCGCCTTTGTCTATAATGTTTTAATTTACCATACCAATAATTTAATGGGAACATATGCGTCAATTTATTTTAGCATCCATATTGAAAAACATATATGAATATAGATATTCATATCTAAATTTTATCAGATACGGATTCGGATTCGTACAGAATGGATAATCGGACATCCACTTTCGTCACTATCCCTTTAGAGTTAGAGACAACCAATTCTAATTCACAAATAAACCTTTCTAGGAGGAACCGTACCTGAAACATTTGTGAGAAAAATAAGCCTCTAACATTAATCTTATGTTGTCGATCTAACTTATTCTCTAGGTAGTGATGCTGATGGTCAAAATTTTAAAAAAAAAGTGTTTGTCAAAAAGAAATGAAAAAAAGGACTTACATATACTGTGGTAATGATGTCGATGCGTGTAAATAAATATCAGCAACCAGACAAGGATGGGGCACCAACCACTGCACCAGAAACTGTAGGCCGTGAAAACGAAAGACAGCAACACAATCAATCATGCGTAGTTAAGAGCATATAAAAACAAAAAAGAAAGAAGGAAAATTGCCAAATAGGACAAGAGACCATCATCATCCTCTCATCCTCCCAAAGTCTCAACCCAGGAGGCCTACAGCCTGTTCGTTTGCTCTTAAACGATCGTAAATTTTAAATTAGGAATAGTATTTTTCTCTCACACCACATTAGCCCACAGTAAATAATCCATTATCGTTTACGGCCTCCCGCCGCTAGAAGACCACAGCGGGGTGGGCCCCACCGGGCTCGCGCGCCCAGCTAGCGGACGCGCTCCCAACTCGGCCTGGAGTGCAGGAACGCCTGCCATGTGGCTGGCACCCACGGCACGTCGCCGTCCGACGCGCCATTCTCGAGTTGAATCTCGGGTCAACGCGCCGCGCGCGACCTCGCTCGGTGACGTATAAGTAGCCGAGCCACCGAGCCCACCAAGATTCATCATGCCATGCCCGCCGTGATCCATCGATGACGTAGGACTAGCAGGCAGCAGCAGCAGAAGCAGCTCATTCGATCGGCGGCTCGCACCATTGCACCGCAGCAGCGTTCGGCGGCACCATGTCGTCGTCGCCGGAGACGGAGGCCGGCAGCAGCAGCAGCAGCAAGAAGTTCAAGGGCGTGCGGAAGCGCAAGTGGGGCAAGTGGGTGTCGGAGATCCGGCTGCCCAACAGCCGCGAGCGCATCTGGCTGGGCTCCTACGACGCCCCTGACAAGGCCGCGCGCGCCTTCGACGCCGCCTTCGTCTGCCTCCGCGGCCGGGGCGCGGCCGGGGCGGACCTCAACTTCCCGGACTCGCCGCCGCCGTGCCGCGCGGGAGGGTGCAGCAGCGACCCGCGGAGGTGCAGGCGGCCGCGCTCTCCCACGCCAACCGCGCCGCCGTCACGGCCCAGCAGGCGGCCGCGGCGCTCATCATGGATGACGCCGACGCCGCTGACGGCGGCTGCTCGGCGACGCCGTGGGACTACTACTACCCGTGGCGCACGACGTGGGCGGCGGCGTCCTTGGTGGCGCAGCTACCAGCGCGGCGGAGGTGGTGGCGCCCGTGCGCGCCGACGGGAGCATCGACTGGCGGCCCGTCATGGCGCACCCGCCGCCCCTCTTCTCCCCTACCGGCTGGGGCAGCAATGCGTACGACTTCTGCAAGTGCCACCGCCGGCGGAGGCGGTGGCCGACGAGGACATGGATGACGGTATCCATGGCGCAACCGCTTCTCTCTGGAGCTTCGACTCGAGAGACTCCTACTTCAGATACTAGCAAAGCAAAGCTACATCGATATCGTCTACAATTCTACATGCATGCTGATGCTGTACAAGGCTACGCTATAAGATGGCGGCGCATGCATGCATCTCGACAGCTAGCTTCATGCACCCTGCATTGCTACACGGTTGGTATTATTAGTTACATGCATGCATGCTCACTACTGAAGTACGGAGTAGATCATATCGAGTATATATGATCAGTGACCTTTTAAAGGAATTTTGGGGTAATGATGGATGCATGGTAAGTAGAATTCATCAAGCAAGAGAGCGTAGAGTTTATGCCAAAAAAAAATGTCTGTGTGTAATAATGTATAGCTCCCCTTTCCTTAACCTTGTTTTAGGGGCGCTAGAAAAGGTTGTAATTTTATGGCATTCTCCACACTACTGATGAGGTCTTTTACATGTCCAACTCATGTGCATGCTTTCAGTTAAAGCCTATAGGCTATTGGCTATATATATTTATCATCTAAACGTGGGAATTTCTTTTTTCATGTATCGGTCATGCATATTCATCAGCAACTTGCAACATACTAGATCACATCGTTTTCAAGCATGTGTCTTATACTGGTACCGAACAGTATATTATCCATCACGTCATCATCGTGATCCCACGCACTGTCCATTTCCCTATGGTGCATACTCCTATCTAATACAATCTTGCATTGGCAGGGTTATTACTAAAGTGTTGTTTTATTTGGATACTATGATGCAGTCTCTAAACATAACTTTAAAGAAAATAATTTAGCTGTGATAGCTTATTAATTTATTCTTATAATAGGTGGTTCAGATACTCGTTAAAGATGCTTGTAATAACTTTTGAAAAATACGTTAAAAGCAAGTTATTACTCATGAACATGCCGCTCACCCGGTTGAGTTTAAGTTCTAAATTGGGGAGACCATCAATATATTTTTCTAGATTTATTCAGAAACAAAACTATGTTATTCATTCAATGGTGGGTGACATGTCTGTGTGCATAACGAGATATATGTGACGATGATTTCGTCAATATTAAGATCTACTAGCTTAATTAGTCTCTCTATGATCCTTGTAGATGTAAGATACGTGTGCCTATGTTGGTACTAAGATGCTTGTAGATGTAAGGTACGTGTGCCTGTGTTGGTAGGGCGATAGTGTGCGTGTGAGACGTGAGTGAGTGACTGTCTACATTTGTGTGCTTTGTTTCAAAAATAAAAGAAAAACGTGGTAAAAGTTCGGCCAATCAGCTAAAAGCAGGGAAGATGCCTGGTATGGCATGCGGCAGCGACAGATAAGGCTTTTTGTCAAGGTCAGGAAAGTTTTCCACACAAATAAATATTTGGAGAGGGGCTAAATCTAAACCCAATGAAGTCCTCCATATATAAATTAATGTATCACATGAACGGATAAATGTATAGTATATGTACGTAGCTTTAGTTTGTTCATTTGTACGTTGGCATTGCTGAATAATATATAGTATCGCTCCGGTCACAGATAGTGAACCTAGCTATTTTTTTAAAAAAATGAAAATAATGTGTTTTATTTTCTAATATTGCAATTATATTGAACACATAAAAATGATACGGGTAAATTTTTATAAAGAACCACAGCGCTACAACTACAAATTTCTGTGTTTATATATAATATAAAATAGCGGTCATACATTTATTGTTTCTTATTAATCCTACATGTTGATAATTCCAAAATACCAAAGAAAAAGGACCTTTTGGGAGTACCGTACCAGTGTCGATTATGACCAAGATATTCATGACGACCACCACGAAAGGGTACAGTCTAGGTATACTCTTAGTAATAGGACTTTTGGGCATTGAGATTTCCACTCTTTTTTGTGTGAGGAAGTACTCCCATCCTAAACAACACCAACTACTCAATCTTAAATAAGGCACAATAGTTATTTTGGTCCCTCAACTATTATTCGAGCCTCAATTTCGTCTCCGAACTTTTTAAAATGACCGCTTTTAGTCCTCAAACTCTACTTTTAGGCTCAATTTTATCCTATAACTACGCAGATGATCGCTTTTAGTTCTCAAACTTTGCATTTGGGTTCAATTTCATTTATAAACTATCAAAGTGTATTTTGTTCTTTAAACTTTATTTTTAACTCAACTTTGTCTATGTTCTATACGTGGAACGCCCTGACCTTTGCACCTGGTTAGCTCCAACACCACCAGCGATTGAAGATAGAAAAATAATATTCATCCAAAAACTCTTTCGTGGCCTTTAATAATTCTAAGCTGTTATTTTTAGTGTTACCTTATAATGGTACCATTTATATATCTATATATCCGACTAAATGATATTTATGGGAGCAATTACAGTTGCATCGAACACTATTTATTCTTTAAGAATATAGTATGTATTGAAACAATAGCATATCTATAATTCTGATAATTTATGGATGAAGTTGTGCTTAAAATATAAAGTTTTCTTTTTGAATAGACAATTGATTTGAAAATAAAAGTTAAATGCACTTTGATAGTTTATGGATGAAATTGAGCCCAAAATGCAAAATGTGAGGACCGAACCATCTTCATAGTTGTAGGATGAAATTGAGCCTAAAATTAAAGTTTGAGGACCTCAACAGCCGTTTTGAAAGCTTATGGATAAAATTGAGCCTCGAGTAATAGTTGATGGAGCAAAATAGTTATTGTGCTCTTTAAATACAAATAAAGGTGACCATCAAATTTAATTAATGCACGAGCTCTTGCTTTATTATTATATACAGTCCTACTAAATTCGTACAGTTGCAGTTTTAATATATCTTGTAATAATAAGGAATTAAGCACGCGAGCTGAATCTGATGACGTTATTTGTTAACTGTTGATCTAGAAGATGCCGTGGCCAAGTATACGGACAATAATATGTACTCACCTACTATATACCTAGCTAGTAGTCTACTATTCTTTGTGCGCCATCTTCTTGCTGTCATGTTCCTATCAACAAATAATGCACTTTGGCTTTGGCTTTGTATACTTGACACTGCCGTTTCTCTCGTGCACGTGAGTTGCGTGCGATTAATTTGATGGGGTTCTCTCCGCGCCCAAGTCACCCATGACGATGCACCTGAATTATTATTAGGTCTTAGATTCACATTAGTTGTTAATAGTTAGCTAGCTAATAACTTGTCTACCTAGCTAACTATTACTGGCGGGCTTGGTCCAACTAATAAGATAGTTGTTAGTTAGATATTCAACTAATAATTAGCTAGACTACTAGCTACAGTCGTTTAGATCTAAACAAACCGATTATTATTGGTAACTCAAACATTAGCTCTATGGATGAAACAGAGCCTTTAGTACTATATATACTAGTAGGCAGCAGCCCAGCACTACTCTCTGCTACCATGCTCCTGCATTTCAAATGGATATAATGCAGCAACACTGATCAAGTGACCCATCACTTGCAAAAACATTATATTATAAATATATCATATATATGTCGTTATGATGAGTATGACGGGGTCAAACCACGCATGTCGTTAGAAAAAAAAAAGTAGTGTATTATGTTTCTAGAACACTATATATATGTTTTGTAAAGCTTAGACTTAAAAGTGACTGCACATACCGTGTTGAATAAAGTACTTATTTTGAGTCTACCCTATAGATCGACTAGATCGCGCGCGTTTTCGCCTTTTGTTCGGCTGGTCCGTGCTACAAAGTAAAACGGATGGTTTTGATGAATAAATAGTATTCATGAGAGAGAATGTTCGAAACAAAATGGAACATAACCCAGCGGACGGGTCTTTGACATCCAATACTAAGAATACAAGCGGATTTGGAACAGAAAGCGCTGCAGTTGAATGCTATAGAAATTAACCAAATAAAACTTGCTGCGCCTCTAAGTCGTGATTAATAAGAAAATCAGTATGTGTGACACTTTTTCAGATCGGCTCCTATCCGGTGATGATTTTCCGTGGCCACCGTATCATCCAGCATCTCTCTTGGTGGCTTTATAAATAGGTGTTCTCCAGCTCATTTTGAACTCTCTCTCTAATAATTCCTAGCTTGGGCAAACATACCTTGGGAGATATATTGCTAGAGGAGAGCATACCGATGATTAATTGCAAGATCAAGGACTTTTTTAGTGCAAGTGAGTAGCAAGTGTGAATTCCTTTGTGCCATTGCCCGGTTCTGGTCAAGTGGAAGTTAGCTTGTTACTAGTGGTGATTGTCATGAACTCATGACCTAAATGAATTGGTGCTTGTGGCTTAGTGATCTTCCTCTTCGTGGTGTTTGTTGAGAAGGCCTAGGATTTCTTTGTGCTTAGATTGAGAACCGTCAACATCCAGAGAAAGAAGGATACTCTTAGTGGAGCTAAGGCCTTGTGACCTAAGTGTCGTGTAGTATCGATATTAAGGATACCCAAAGCAATGGAGCTAGCGCCCACGTTGACTTCCCCGGATGGCTCGAGGCGTATTAAAAGGTCTCAGCCGACCCTAAGGTCAGTGGCTCTCCGTCTCGCCCGACCTCGAGATCATGGGCTCCGTCCTCACCCGACCCTAAGCACGCTGGTTCGCCTTTGCCCAAGGTCAGTCAAAGGGTTTCGTCTCGTCGAGGCAGGGACCCATATCGCCCGCCAACCACTAAAGGTCCAAGCGTATGGGCACAGGGTCAAACTCGACGCGCGGAGAAGAGGTCGCACGCCTCGATGTAACCCGTGGCCATGACGGGTCATACCGAGGATTCACATCAAGAACAAAGGTTTGACATGCCGCAAGTTGCTCGCTTAATCCTCTCAGACGGACAATACCGACAAAGCCAGTAAGTTCACCACGACGTCCGCCGGATGGAGGGAACGCCATGACCGGCAGATGACGCATGCGCATGGCGCCAGCGGATTTAAAACGGGGCGGCGATATGGAGCCATCCCTATTGACATCTACAGGATCGACGGTCACGCATGAAGGAGAGAAGAAGGACCGCAACCACGGAAAGCTTCTCGCTCTCTCTCGTTCTTCTCCTTTTCCTCCTGTTTAATCGCGCTTCCCTTCATATAAA